GGATAAAGAAATTTGGAAAGAGTTGGAGGAGGTCTCTACCAATAAAGGGGTTCCGGTACGGAAGGATCTTAATATAACGAGTAATAAGAAAAAAAATTATTTAACAAATTTAAACTGATTATTATTAACATTTGTAAAGATGGGAAATAAACGGGCTTTAATATTATTATTATGTACTGTGAAGTCTAACCCTAATAAATGGAGAAGGATCAGCTTCCACTCGTGTTTGTACATTGCAATGGCGAGGCTTTATCAGAGGATAAAATTAGAACTACCATCGCCTTTAGGATTTGAAGAGTATATGTATCTGCACATATTTTTTATTTTTTTGTAATTATTATAGGTAAAATTTTATATGAACCGAAAAGATTTTGCACTTCAAGTGTAGGCCCAATAGTTATTATCTGATAGCCTACTGATACGTAGCCAATGTACTGAAAATAATAATCACCCTTTTTCGTAAACTTAATTCTCAAAAGCTTTAATAATATTTTCTTCGCAACACCACTAAAGTGAATTACAGTATGAATATTAACAAATTATTAAACAAAACTAACGACCCTTAATCATTTTTTTTTAATAGGCAACTATCATCTTTATGTGATGCAGGTAAATCATGCTGATTTCCCGACTTCCTTTTTTCTTGGCATATAACTGTTAATAATAATATCATTCTTATTTAATTATAGAATTTACAAATTTAGTAACGAAAGATTAATTACGCTTTCAAAGAAAATTGGCTTGATACCAAGACAATCGGATACTACCTCGAATAAACAATGGTTATTTACCCAACAATTATTTATTTATAAGTGTTGCTAGTTTGAAGCGCTCCACTTTAATCACACTAAAAGAAACACGTGGCGCTGCGTACGTTATTAATTAATATGCAAATATCAGCCTCCTCCGAGGCTCATGTATGAAATACTTGGTTAATCAACGCGTGTGAGTTGGAAGGTTTTGGTTTTCGAAAGCAAATAGTTTAGGTTTACAAACATTACATACTTGTTAAGAAAGAGTACTATAACTAAAACATTTAAAAAATCTCCTATTTGTAATTGGTGCCTACGAGACCTTAACCATGTGTACAGGTTGAGAGAATAGATTTATAGATTCGACCTCACAATAAATCCCGGGTTGGTATATAGTTTTGTGATATGTACTATGAAAGCTTTTTTTTGAATTGCTTTTAAAGTCATTAAAACCATTAAATAATTGTCATAATACCCATTGTTATTATATAACTTTCTGTAAAAACGTATGGATAAAAACAGATTTTAGATGAATAACTCTTAGTAACTACGTAGTAGATCATGTTAATATAGCATTATATCTTAAAACGGTTATAATATAATATAAAAAATATTATATTACGTTTAACACTTAATTTAGGCTCTGCTTTTTATAAAATCCACCTCTCAAGAAGCTACCGGCATTTAAAAGATTCTAACAAAGTAACACTATTCCAACAAACAATTATTCAATTATAAACTTTCAGTTGAAACTTTGAAGAAAATTGCAGGAACCGATTACATCATTATAAACGGCATGCAAGCATGCTACGAGGAACTGTAGGCAGGCTACGGGGCTACGGTGCTACGATCGCGTAGATATGCGATACGTTTGTGAAACTAGGGCATGACATTAAAATATTACTGCCTCAGGCAATACTTAGCTAAATATTCTATCTTTAAATGAAAATTTAACAGCCAACTTCTGCAAACGGCCAAACTTACCAATATTTTTTATTTTGGAACTTAGTTCGTTTTGCTTTTAAATACATATACAAGGTCGCAGAAAGCTGATAAAATAGCTCAAATTCACACTATAATACAACATATTATCAAAATAATCTATATCCTTAACTATTAAAATAGGAATTTATAATAAACTTATTTTATTTAGTTGAGTATGCTTTTATACAAAGGTATTTACCAAAAACTATTTATTAAACCATTCTGTACTCTATTTAGACTCTACTTTGAATAGCTATCTGAGATTTGCTATCATGCTTACAATAGCCTTCGACCACAATTTACAAACGTGAAATTCGCGGTCTGTCGAAAAACAAGCCGAAAAGTAATAGTGAATAATTGGAACAAGGTCACAAGTCGGGGCGAAGCTAATGCAGCGGTCGGTTCTTTATAAAATCGATATATACTAACACGACACGCAATGAAAGACTTAAAACTAATATATAAAATAAAAGAAGCATTCACCTCAAATCGAATCAGCTTGCAAGTATTTTTGCTAACTACACAAGTATGAAGGCATAGAAGGAATGTATGAACGATGCGGTTCGCTTAAAAACTTTAAAATATCGTCGACTTCCGATAAATACAGTGCACATGTCTCACGCGCGTATGCATCTTTAACACTGAAGACATTTATTGGTTGTGAGGTTTAATAGCGTAGGCAATGATTTTGTATTTTCAATGGCAATTTGAAGCGGCTTTGTGTAAAATTCTAAAAAGCTCTATTGTCTAAAATTACTAGAAATAACTGAGGTCTACCTTGAAAATTTTACCCGCGACTGTGTCATGCTGCAGCATTACCATTCGTTTATTTTTAATAATTCTAGTTGAACTTTTTTTTAATCAGCGATATCATTTGAACCCTTTACCGTATGAAACAATATACCTTAGAAGTAGGTATAATTAGACAATTGTACTGTAGTGTTAATAGATAAAGACTAGAATTTTTTTATTTTTATAGACAAAATATTTGGATAAGTTTTACAAACTAACTTTTTTAATTGGTTTCTTAGCGGCAAACTCATCATTGAACGCGTTCTCCATGCAAGCTTTGTTTCATACTATGCTATATTTCGTCGGGTCCGGAAGTTATCGTCCTTATAATTATGATGACATCACCTTCGTGACACCTAATAGTACCTAGTAACGTTTTGTTTAACTTATATCTTACGAAAAATATTTACGCTAAGAAAGATATATAGACTTGATATACAGTTACTTTACATAGATTGTTTTTATCGCTAATTGTGAAAAATTTAAGAATTCTTTAAATTTTATATTTAAGAATCAATATATATTTAAAAAAATTAAAATATATTTATATTCGACGACCTCAGTTTGTATTTGATATATTAAAAAAATAATTGACAATACTATATTAAAACCATATAGAAATAATATAAAAATAATGACAATTTCCTAACAGGAAATTCCAATTTCTTAATATTTTTTCAAAATTTACCTATTTGTCTGAAGATTTTTCCTAGGTCTTAAAACTTGTATTTATTTAAGCCTTACTATTTTGAGTTAAAATTTATCATTATAAGCTAAAGCGAGAGGTGCTTTTTAGGTGACTTTCAATATATAACATTTATACAAAATCACTTACCGATAATCCAGGATTGCAGCCCGCAGTTATGGAGTTCTTTCTAAACTTCGGAACACAAATTTGCATGGAACTTTTCCCCTTAGGAGGCCCCGCACAACCGTACTCATCACTCCTATCGTTTCTTGTTAAATTTATATTGTTCGTGTTATTTACTTTCACCAATATATTACACGTCTGCGAAGCTATTTGAAATAAACCTTCCTCTAAATTTCTTTTGTTTTGATATTGTCGGTTGAAGTGTAAATAGTCCCACCACGATGGCATTTCAAATGCCGCGGCTAAAAGTTGACTATGACTTATGTAGCGCGTGTAGCTTCAAAGGACCGCGTAGCCGCTTTGACGGTTCACCAGTAAACTGTATTATCGAGGACCTGCGCCGTAAACTTATACCAACTCCTACATCGTACTTTATTTATTACTATTTTAAGGTAAATATATTTGTTGACTGTTGAATTGTATTCCCAAGAGCTAAGAGAGTAGTGACATGTTACAATTTCTAGGTTAGATATTTTTTGTTATAATAAACACGCCATATAATTAATTTTCCTTTAATTCGTCCATAGCTGAGAGCAATTAAAATATCGTTCAAAAACATTGGAGATTACTAGTTTACGATTGAAACGCGTATTATTATTATTTTATAACTTATGTAAAACGTTTCTTTTCTTTTCTGTAAACTGACATACCTTTCTCATTATGAATAATATATATATATATATATATATATACTTATAGCTCAACAGCTTCAGGATAAAAGGTAACACAAAATATTGTCGATTAATATTATTCATGTAGACTAATAGCACAATATACATATTTTTGTGATATGAGTGTAAACCTTTTTCAGTCTGCTACACGAAAAAATTTAAACAAATGTTTAGAATTTCTCATCTAATTACAATTTCTCTGATTAATGTATCTTTCTCTAATTTATTTTTAAACAAAAGAACATAACATGAATAATTGTACAGATGACAATCGCTTTGTTATTTTATTTATTCAAATTCCTAAAACACATACCCATACATATTTGGGGTTCGACCTTCAAGCATACGAGTTTACCTTGCATACATAAAATGCTCTCATATTTGTGCCTTAGTCCACGGAGAATAAGCATTAATGCCGTGACACGCGATAAAACTTTACTTTTACGACTTCTATCGCTGTAATGAGCCGTTTCGGGCGTAATGACTCGACGATTTTCTATTCCCTATAATTATAAATGTGTTTTTTAATGTTTATCTTATTTTCATTGTAACTGTTCACCATTTAATGCCTTTTTTTTACATAATATGCATGCTTAAAAATTATTACTATCGAAAATCACCTAAAAGTTCTTGTCTTATTATATCTCAAGTTTTAGATATTTTCTCGAGTTTTATCATATTTGTAAGTCTTAGATTTACATATTATATTGGTCTCGAGATATATTTTAGCTAACAAAAAAGTCATGTTTGTAATAGATCTTCTTTTATATTCTTGCTTTTATGATTTGCAAGATTATTTATTCTACAGGCATTTATACGCAAAAACAAAAATATCGTTTTTAATAGAAGTTATGAATAAATACTAAAAAATACAAAATCCACACTTTATTCAATCATCAATTTCAAATTTTTTATATAACTCAATACAAATTAGGATTCAATTGTATCTTTCATTTCCACATCCTCTATAGCAGTATCTGTATCCTCAGGTTCATCTAATAATGCCTGTAGCTGATGTATAGAAGTTACTAGAACATGAAATTGTTTTTTTCTTAGACCTAAACGACTCTCTAGTTGTTGTTTAGTAGCTTCTAAACTACTTAATTCATTCTTTAATGTACTCAATTGATCTAAAGTTTCTTTCCTGTCTGGTTGTTCACTAATAACTTTGGCTAGTACATCATACTCTATTCGGTTTTTTCGGACTGTTTTGGCTTGGGCTAAATCTGCTTTGCTCTTTTCTATATTCTTTTTTGCTATTTCTATACCATCTTCAAGTATTTTAGATAAGTTTTCATAGCTTTCAAGTTCAGCTGCCATCATATCTGCACCAAGCTGAGATTTTGTGACAGCAAATTCACATTGAGCTAATTGTGCTAACATTCTGTCATGTGTAGACTTACTGAAAAATATCATAATTAAATCAATCAATGCAAAGAAAAACATATTTTGACAAATTCTACTGAAGGTAATTATTGACCACTAAATTTACCTTTCTTCCGCACTGTCGTCAGTTGCATTACACCATTTAATTAAAGTTTTTAACAAAACATTAAGTCTTCTGTCGTCACCGGTACCATCTCCATCTATTAGCAGGCGTCGTCGTATTACATCTTCTACGAAAAGAAAATAGTAAACATAATTTGACAAACAAACACTGTACACATTATAAATTTGACTTTTTATGTTACATACCATCTCCCATGGTAAGGACTCTGCCAATCTAAATAAGTAATAATTGTGTTTTGTCGGTTAACTAATGCCAGTTCTCAACAATTCAAAACAATAACTCAAAATAAATCAACTTTGTTTTAAGGTTAGTTTATGTCTAATATAAACAAGAAACGGCCTAAAAATTAAAGATAATACTTAATAGTTAATACTAAAAAATTATTGTCTTCAACGACCTTCTTCTTCTGTGGCCCATTTGTACAATAGTCAATAGTCAGTAGTCAAGTTTAGTGTCAATTGTTAAAACTCAACTCATAGTAAAGTTAATCGCTAAAATATTAAAAAATAACTTACGATTTACTAACCCCTACAATTTTAGTGTTTGTTTATATAAATATGGATAGTTATTTTATTTTTCCAATTTTGATTAACATTCAAAACAGTTTTAACACGAAATATTAAAAAGAGAAAAGGGATTGCCATGGAGAATTTAAGTTTTAGTGAGAAAGTGGAAGCGTACTTTTCGGAGTTAGGGCGATGGTCTGAATTACTTATTTTCTAATTGACGAACAAAATAATTTATTTTAAATGTTGATTACTGAATTAAATTTGTCATTTTCTTTTAGGAAAGTATGGCGTAGTATAGCACTTGGTCAAGTGCTGTCCCTACTCTTGAGTGGAAAATGTATTTTAACAACTCTTCTTCAGAGTGCTACCTGGCAGTTTCCAACTACAGCTCAGCTGGTTATCCCATATTTAGCGCTTTTCATTTTATTTACCCCAACCTTGATCTGTAATGGTGTTAATAAGTTATCAAAGTAAGTAATCCTTATTAAATTACCTTTAAAATTGATATAAAATATGTATATTTTTTTTATAATAAATTTTACATATTATGTTAACATTTGAGAACATATTCATTTTAAATATAATTTTTAAACTTTAACTTAATCTGTATTAGATTTTTTTAAATTAAATAAATAAAACCTTTTACAGAAAATGGTGGATAGTTATACTGGCCTGTATCCTTGATGTGGAGGCTAGCTGGCTTTTGATTCTATCACAAAGATTTACATCTGTCTTGAGCTGACAGTTGCTAGCATGTAGTGGTGTTGGCGCTGCATTGGTTGGTGGAGCCTGGCGAGGACAAAGGCTTGGTGTTGTGCATGTAGCAGGTGCAACCTTGGGACTGATGGCCGTTGTTTGTGTTGTATGGGCTGATGTAGAAGGTGCTCCTACTGATGGTAAATAAGTGTTTTGTCTATAACTAGAAATATATAATAAATGTGTTACTGTTTCGGTTTGCAGTATGGCTTAACTTAGTGCTCATATACAGGCGAATTGAGTATTTTGAAATATTGTAATTATCTATTTTACAGAAAAGACCTATATTTTACTCAAATGTGAATACTATAATTTAAAAAACATTTCAGGTAAAAATCAGTTAGTAGGAGATATGCTTTGCCTGGGAGGATCATTACTGTATGCATTGATGACAGTTTTGCAAGAAATTATGCTCCAAACCCAATCATGCTCAGAATATTTGGCCATTCTTGGTCTAATTGGGGGCACACATTCATGCCTACAGACATTCTTTCTAGATTTTAATGAATTGGTAACATTCTATTGGTATGAAGTGGGTACAATATTTCAACTGGGAAGCTACTGTTGCGTTCAGACTGTCTTTCAAATACTGCAAAGTTTTATGTTGAGAGATGCAGGGGCCATTATGCTGCACTTATCATTTTTATCATCTGATTATTTTACACTGATTGCAGGAATGTTCATATTTCAGTTTAAGGTGGGATATATGACTATTGCATACTATGACTTGAATAAATAATAATTTTTAAGTACTATATTTTCGTTTATTTTGTAGAGATCTAGATGTATATATATATGTAGAGAATTTTATTATTGTATATCCCTCTTTTTGTTTGCTGTTATTTTGGATTAACTATAAAATATTTTTTTAATTGTGGCAATACTTTCTTGTGATTTCAGTTCCACTCATTATATTTCCTATCATACTTATTGGCTATGCTCGGAGTATTCCTCTTCAGCTCCCGCACGACGCGTCCTCCGCCGCCTCCTGCTCTCTTACCGCAACTAGTCAACGATTCTGTTCAGTCCCAGGATAATGTATCCATGTAAGTGTTGAATCATGAATACAATAGACATTTGTTCAAGTGGACATATGTTATGTTTTCTTTTAATTCATAATTTTAAAACCCGCTAGCTTCTTTAGACAAGATGGCGTCGTCATAGGGCCAGTCTCTATAGCGGTACCATGCTTGTGAACACGTAAACCAAATGCAAGGTTTTTACGTGTAAATCACTATTATTATCATTATCTATTACATAATATCATTCTTATTTTTTCACAAATATACGTAATATTTTAGATAAAAAACGTTCGACAATATCCGAAATTAAGCTGCTAGACACATCATTGTCGATTCGACTAATCGTTTTGTGTCACGTGACTGACGTATGAAAATCTATATTAATTATGGTTTTTTTGATAAATTAATGATTATTATAAGCTATTTTACTATATAACTTGTTTTGAGCCATATTTTATATAGATTATTCCTAATAATATTATTTTTCATACTGTGAAATAGCCTATTGTTTCAATATTAATCCATGTTACTTATACACATAAACTCATTGTTTGGGACTCAAATTTAGTTTTAAAAATTTCAGGGAGTATACTGTACCAACGCTTGATTGTATTCCACTTTCTGAAGGACTCGAACCCCCTATGAGCCGAGACACAACATTCACTTCCTTCCTTGGAGGCAATCAGAGCAGTATGCCAAATGGTACATTTAGCTTATCACAAAATAAGGATTAGTTCGCCTAAATATTCTATATTCTATATTTAAATATTTTTTTATATTCTTAGCCAGTTTGAATCTAATAATCTTGCTATTTACGTTAGCAATATATTTTATTTTAAAGAAATATAACAAATACATATACAATAGTGCACTTTGAATGACAAATCAAAAAAATAATAATTTTAAAGGATTGTTGAGGAATTGAAACAGAATTGCTATATTAAATTTATCTATATAGTTATTTTTGTCAAGATGATTTTTAATAAATTTTAAATACTTTCTTCATAGATTTAGAGATAGTTATGCGTTAGATGAATATAGCAGAATATACTCAGTATTTACCTTCTAGTCAATATATTTATTGCTTGGATACTCAATAGATTTAGTAGTGACACTGTTGTTCTGATGAATGACCTCGAATTGTGTAACCCTTGGTTTTCTAATGACAAAATGTTCTACGCATTTAAGGACACAGCAGCATGACCCACTCTAGGCCCAGAGATATAAGTAGGCCCAATTCCTGGTTCTACTTGTATTTGGGACCTTACAATCATCTGGTGCCTTTTTTCATTGTTGTATTTATTAATTATTACATAGGATTCATAGTTTCATTTATAGTTTTTGTAATATTAAATAATATTACTTTTCCTAAATACTCATTTCAACTAATAAAAATAATTTTGACACTTGTCCAAGTTCACAGATAATTAATAAATGATTCAACTAAAACTCCGCAGTTTATTTTCTGTACTCATGTATAGTAAATATTCATCAGAACAGCAGTTTTGACCAGACCTAACCCCCTAAGGTTTTTAACGTTAACTGCCATAATCGAATTTTACTCAAATGTATGAAATTTTATTACTTATTACGTAGATATTATTAGATATAAGCTAATTTGTGAGAGAGAAAGTAGATTAAATGTAATGTGTGGAATTAGAATATTTAGAAATCTTTAAAATTAGGTAGTTTTAAAAATGCATTTTTGCGGGATCGATTCACGATTAGTTTCATCTTCCAGGCTCACAGAACAAAAAGATAATTTAATAATATTTGAATTGATCTAAATAATCGCGTTCGAACCTACTAGTTGTTCTTAATTATTTTTAATATCTCTGCATTTAAAATCCTAACTTTATGCACTTATTTTTCACAGACAAAGATAATTAAAAACACTGATTTATGTTCCTAATATATTTAAATGTTGTCCTATTAAAATTTTATTGCGAAGCATACTCAGTTATCGCTATTGTTAATATTTTAATTATAAAAAGTTTATAACATTCGGTTAAAACCGAAAATGTAAAAATCAGAGACGTGGTACAGTTATTATTGTGTATATTACTTTAAATTCTGTGTGTGTATTTTCTAACACAACTTCAAAAGTATTTTCAAAGTAATCAGTGAATATTTTTCAAGGATGAGAATTTAAACTAAAGCCATACATACGTATAGTGTGTTTCTTTTGATTGTGTGTCTTTATACCAGCGCTGTCATTACCATCACAATCAAATGATGTCGTTTTGTCTTTGGTTCTCATCCTTTTACTCATAAAAGCTTTTAAAATTAAGACAGAGGTCTAGTGGTAAAGCGTTTACGCCCTTGATATATTGTGTTTAATCATAAATCTGCATTTGTATTAAGGGTTTTTCTACGGAATTATTCACCGTATTTGCAATAATCAAGGGAAGAAATGGATTTCCGTAACTTGAGTTTTTTAATTAATGTAAGAATTGTTCCATGGTTTCACCATTTAAGATTGTTTAATGAATCTGTCTTAATAATGTTTCTTAAATGTAAGTAAAAATGCTCAAGTTCACGAATCAAAAATCTTTGTTTTGAAATCTTTAAAACTCTGTGGCACAGTTTTGAGTATTAATACTTACTTATTTTTGACATACCATAAATATAACACGAATAACGAAAATTACTTTAAGTAGTGTTTACTGAACCTTTTGAAATAATTTTTATCAAATACTGCATTTAACAATCTTTAGATTGTATCTTTCTGTATAAAATAATATTGACAAAAAATTATGTTTTATTTTTCAATTCCCGATTCGATGAGAAAAATATTTTCATAAATTTAGCAGCAAGTATATCAAGAAATTTTGTTTAAACATAGTACTCATTATAACAAAGTCTAATTATAGCCTAGTCAAAATGACTGAGACACAAATTTTCTAGTTTGCATAAAAAACCTACCTACGAAATAATATAATTTTCAAAAAATTAAAATATATTCATATGAAAGCGTCATTTCGACTTATGTATTATTCATAAGAAGATATAGAAATAACACTTTCTTTATTATGAATCCTGTCTAAATACTGCACACCAAGTCATAGAGACTTGCCTTATTCAATGTAAAATAAAAACAATTCAGGTTTAAACCTTTATTATCTTCCTTTCTTACAATATCGTACAGTAAAATACAGAGGATATGGAATATTTATCAGACAACGAAAGTTATGAGAATTTTATTTAAAAGAAAAAATGTCTAACAATAGAATGGGGTTTATTATATGAAACATAACATTATGGTGAGAACATATTTTTGAAAAACGAAACGACAATTTTTTTATACAAAAGGGAGCAAACGGGCAGGAGTCTCATCTGATGGTAAGTGATACCGCCGTCCATGGATACTCAAGGGTCATAAGCTCGCGAGTGCGTTACCGGCCTTTTATCGTTTTCCTGTGTAATTTATTTTTAGATAATATATACACAATAGATAGTATATATAATACTTATCTAGTCTTTAAACCTTTTATAACTAAAGATCTGCTGAGGTTTCGAATAATATAAATTTGTATTAAACCATTCCAATTCTATGAAAATTGATACACCAAGTATTTAAAGACTGCTACTGAAAGGGTACCTATATTTTAAAGAAATTAAAACTATATTTATTTGTTTTTAAAGAGAAATTGTTTAAACAATAAATAAATACACTATTATAATAATAAATGTCTGAATTATAAACATATATAGTCTATGGATATAATATATGTCCCGCGCTATCGACAGCGGTTTTTGTGTAACACATATTTTGTATTTGAATTGGGATTTATTAAAACAATTTTGTAGATGAGGAAAGACTAGGGGAAAATTAGTTAAAACAATTAGATATAATACCTTTGAGGTAATAGTTATATATCTAGGCTTCATCTTCACTTGCCGACACAGATTTTCTGGACTCGGGTGTGTCAGGTCTAGAGTTCCTGGAGCCAGAACGCGAACGAGATCCAGAACGACTTCGTGATCCGCTTTTCGACCTGGAATAATTACGGTGTTTGGATTCCATCGTTTGATTATTAAGATTAGCCGACTTTAAAAAAATTAGTTTGATCTGTATACCTTGGATAATATTTATCCAAATATGTCGTGGATATTATTTTAAGTATTAATTTTTATTACTCTAATTAAGTTTTATTTACCTTATAAGGTAAAAAGCCCTTTATTTTAAATACTCATTGCGCAATCAACATATAAAATAAAGTTGTATATAACTTCTAAAAGAGTAGACTTATTATAAAAATAAACAAAATTTAATTCATTTTTAATCATAATCTTGATTAATAACATGAAATATTAATTTAACTTGTATTGAAAAATATTAAATGTTACTAACCTAGTCTTTTAACAAAATATGAAATTGTATCAACATTTTGATTTTTATTCTCTACTTACCTAGACTTAGATCGGCTCTTGGATCTAGACCGAGAACGGCTTTTAGACCTGGACCTCGATTTGCTTCTGGACTTAGACCTGCTTCTTGATTTCGAACGACTTCCGGACTTGGATCGACTCCTAGACTTAGAGCGACTTCTCGACTTGGAACGACTTCTCGACTTGGAGCGACTTCTCGACTTAGAGCGGCTTCCCGACTTGGACCGACCTCTGGACTTAGACCGACCTCTGGACTTAGATCTGTTCCTAGATTTAGACCTAGACCTGGATCTAGACCGACTCTTAGATCTTGAGCGGCTTCTAGCAGACCCTGAACGACTCCCAGACTTCGATCGGCTCTTTGAGCGAGATCTGAAATTAAAAAAAAAAAATAAGAAAAACTATTTTTTGATCTAATTAAAGACAAATTTTTTGACCCATTATGAAGGAAAGCTTATTAATAATTTATACCATCATAGATTTTTAACCCTTAACAAATTATTTCGCCAGTTATGTATTTGAATATGAATCTTTACTGACCTGTCACTATCAGATGCCGACATGATTCTCTTGCGTCCCTTATTGGTGGGTGGGCTGCGACTGCCGCTGCGACTACGACTGCGGCTGCGACTACGACTACGACTGCGCGACTTGCGGCTGGCGTCCGAGTCCGATTCTGACGTAGAAATAGTCTCTTTCGAAACGATTTTAGCCCTTTGTTTGGCGCCAAGCTTCTCTTCAGCCATTTTGGCTTTTTCGCGGCGACCGATGCCCTTTTCTCCCTGAAATTATTCCAATAATAACTTACATAACACGTTAATTTATTAGTGTTAGGTACAATTTACGTATATGTGTGAATAAGTACAGGGTGTCCCGTGGCAGATTTAGGATTTCTTAATTAAATTAAAGGATTTATTATTTTAGAATATACATATATTTGTCATAAAAAGAAAGACGAGACATGGATTTTATTTTTTGAAGATCACTCCGTCTAAATGTTTTCCATCGGACGTACACACTCGCGGAATCTTTCGAGAGTATTCTGAGTATCGTGCTACAAAACTGACCGAGGAATAGCATTCACATCTCGCACGATATTTTTTTTTAAACCCGATAGGTCTGTCGGGTTACTGTCGTACACTTTTCCCTTTAAGTAACCCCATAAAAAAAATCTAATGGGGTGAGATCTGGGATCTGGGTGGCATGGATGTCCCCAAATCGGTTATAATTTTCGGGGAATTCTTCGGAAGGAGGCTCATGGTGGCTCTTGATGTGTGAGGGTGCGCCACTTGTTAAACCACGTGTGAGACTGTTGATGGATTTCTCTTAGTTTGGTATAAAATACTCAGTAAGCATCGGGATAGACATCACCATCAAAGTTATGTTCTCCAGAGAATTTTAAAGAAAACGGTCCAATTATCCCATTGAAGAAAGTGCTGCCCAAAAGTTACTTTTGGGCTATGCAATGCTTTTTTGTTTAATCGTGGTTTTGTCCTTCGAACTTCTGACCCAGTCCTAATCAAACTTTCACTCGGTTTCACTTAAGCGACGAATATTTATGAGAACAAAATCTTGGCGAGCAACGATTATTTGCACGATTTATTACTTCAAAATACGCTTCAACTGCGAGGCGCTGCGCGCCAGTCCACTGCGACATTGTTACTAAACAATCCGCACAAATGCAGCGCCAACTGTACCTCCCGGTCACGGAACCGTTAGAAAAATATTCGAATTTCAATTATCTGGGACACCCTGTATAAGTAGTATTTATACTCTGATTTTTAATTCCGTAGAATTCTGACAGCTTTCATTTTTTGACATGTCAGTGATAGCAAACCTTTTTGGCCGAGCATATTTTTCAATTTTAATACGAGTCTGAACATCTGAGTCTATACATACATTTTATTGTTAGTGAATGTTTCCATTTTATTAAGTGCGGTGCTCCACATTAAAAGTGGTTTAACGGCGAGTGGTAATAACGTTCCTTTTCATCAGAAACAGTAAAAACTCACAAGTAAAGATAACATTTTTTTTTAAAGGTTTATTAAACCTGGAATTAGTAGGCAGTGATGCCAGCTAAATAATAAAATAAAGTAATTAAAGTTATTTCGATATATTGAAATATTAGTTATTTTTGTATAAGGTCACTGGAGTGATTTAGTTTTACCTTTTTGTAGGTAAAACATAAAAAATACGTAGCATTTTTTTTATTGCCCTCAAATAAATCAAATTTGTCCCTTTTTCGGTGGAGAACTTTTTTAGTAGCAACACTCATGAAATGTCAGAATTCTACGGAAGTCACACCGAGTGCTAAATCTTACCCTAGGAGCAGAACGTGCATAGTTCGAATAGAATTCGTATGGTCTATAAAAGTTGTATGGACATTTTCGATGTCGAAAGGGTGACGTTAGTGTTTTGACTTATACCAGTACTTGAGGTAAACTCACCCGTTTCTTTCCCTTCTTCCTCGGAGGATCACTGTCGCTGCCACTGCCGCGTTTGTCCCGAGCTTTACGACCGCGTTTCTTGCCTTCGCCCCCTTCACGTTTGCGTTTACGTTGCTTCGGTTCGCGGCTGAAAACGATAATTGTTAAAATAGTTTTTTGTATAAAAATCTGCAGTAAGATGTAAAATTATCTTTAAATATATAAATTGTCTGTGCGTGTGTTTGTAAACTCTTCCTTAACGGCTAGGCTAGATTTTGATGATTTTTTTGGAAACAATTTTGCAATTGTAAACCATTCTTCTTCCACTTGAAAGCTTGAGATGATTTTTTTAATACATTTAAGACAACATTTGTCGGGCCTGCTAGTTTGTTCGATTAGATTTAACAATAATTTAATAAAAAATTTACAACTTGTTTTAAAAATGCACCATGTACACCGTACGTTGGATCAATTTTGTCACAACCATATTCTGTTATCAATATAGTTTATTATTATGAAATTATTTAGGTTTTTAGAGGTCATGCACTAAAATGTAACCTTTATATATAGGATGCTAATTAAAATCCCCATTGCGCTACAATCCTTGGTTTAGTTCTCAGATTTCTGTATATCATTTATATATTTTTCTTTATAGGCAAGTAGGTGATCAGCCTTTTGTGCCTGACACATGTCGTCTACATTGAGTCTAAGGCATGCAGGTTTCCTCACGAAATTCCATTTGCCGTACGAGCAAGTGTTATATGCGCACCTAGAAGGAATAGGTCATTGGTCCGTCCCAACGCACGACCTCAGAATTTAGAGGCTAAAGGCCAACATTCATAACTGAAGTAAAGAGAGTACCAATTCATAAAAGGCCGTCACTGCCATGTGAGTGTCCAAACCAGGTGAGCCCATTTGCCCCCTGTTTAAAAAAACTGATGACGCTAAGGTGAAATGTATAAACATGTACTGACCCTTCCTCCCTCGGCCGATCACTTCCACTGCCCGAATCCGAAATGTATTCATCTCGTCTCCGTCCTCTGCCCTTAGACTTGCCCTCAACCGGCATATCTGCGAAGAGCAAAGCGTTCTTTGTCTTCTCTTTGTACTCTTGCCTCTTCTGCAACATCTCCACTGTACTTTTCGCTTGTTCTTCTTCGCGACGTTTGCGATCGTCTTCCTGTAAAACATTGATATTTTGGTTAACAAATATTTTTCATAAATAAAAATGAATCGCAAAATATGTTGCCAAGCTCAAAACTCGTAAAAGGCTGGACCAATTCGAGTAGAGTAAATTTATTCCTTGAACTCTGAGGAAGGGTTTCATGGATAGAAACCTTTTGTTATTTATAAAGTAGGTAGGTATAAGAAAAAGTTATAAGTGTTAAAAAACCATAAAAAACGACCTCGTGGCGCTACAATTTTTAGGTAGGTATAAGAAAAAGTTATAAGTGTTAAAAAACCATAAAAAACGACCTCGTAACGCTACAATTTTTAGGTTTGAACCACAGATTTCTGTATTTGTTCCGTGATAATGTTTTTTCTTAATAGAAGTAGGTGATGAACAAAAACGTCTCCTTTATGTTTTATTATATGAAGTAGCATTCAGTCCCGGCTTCGTATGGCTGGATTTTTATTTGATTAAACATGTAATAGTTAAACACCCGGATTTGGGGACTTTTTTTATACATATAAAAGCTTGCCAACAGCCGGCACACTGATACATTGGTAAAAGATATTTATGTACAATTTTTAATGTGACAAGCACTTATAGGCAAACACAAACGATAAAAATATTACAAAAACTAATCGATTTCAAAGTATGACGGGAGCAGCTATGGATATCCAGAGCTAGCTTGTTTATTACTCAAAGCTTCGCAAAGGAGGGACAAATGGAATGACTTTTTTGTAAGTATGTCTTCTATAAAACTGTAGTACACCGCTGTAGCGCATTGGTTTATCGTCAATAGTTTCTGCCGCGAACGAGATATAGGAATCTTTATTGATATTTATTTCCCACCTTCCACCACCACGATTTCATACTTTTTTGAAAATATCCTAGACTTTTTTATAAAGGGATAAATATTAAATTTTTCAAATCGATATTTTTAGAATCTATTAGATGCAAACAAACAATCAAATCTTTCGTCTTCATAATAGTGGATAAAGCTGAGTGTCACTCACCTGTTGCCTCCGGAAGGCTTCTCTTTGCTCCCTCTGGCGGTCCCTAAGAGTGACCTCTTCCTCGTGCTGCCTCCTTGCCCTTGTCACATGCCACTGCGCTTGTGAGAGAAGGTCAGCGCAGGCCCGAGCCTCGGCTGCAGCAGCAGCTGGCTCATAGCGGGCTCTTTCTGCACCCTCCACTGTGGATAGGCGTTGGAAGTACCTGTGGTAAAGTGAGTAAAATAATAATAAATATCTCACAAACTACTGAACAATTTAGATGAAACTTTTACCTTAGTGGGAATATAGCTTTAAGTAAGGATTATACGATATTGCAGCTCTTGAAACTTAAATCTAGTTTTAAAAGCTGTCAATCCAATTTTTCAGTAGAAGTTTGACATATTTGACAGCGCTCAAGTCGAGATTGTGAATTGAGATACGAATTAGAATATCGAAAAACATGCCAGGGGCCTTACGCAATTAATAACACGTTCATGCATAATAGATCATCCTACTAATATAAAATATTTTCATACAATTCAAATTTACCTGCGTACAGATTTCAAATTACCCGAAATTATATTATTAATTATGATTACAACTATAATTCAAAAACAAAAATAATATATATTTGTGGTAATTATGCAAATTAATATAATTTAATAATCAAAATTGATTACCATATATAAAAAGAAAATATATATCGACGTAGGAAAGCATATTTGCTGTAAGTAGACAAAATACCTAAAGTGACTTTTTTACTGCCATTAGAATCAGAAAAAAAACCGCATCGAATGTCCCGGGTCCTGTGTCTCTATTGAAAACGGGGGAAAAAAAAAATTACATACGCGGTTGAAAACGCCCGTACTTATATTTTTTTAGTAAGATTAAATGCTGTATGTAGACCAAAAATCCAGTCATTTTAGACAATTTGTACTTACAGCAAAAGAAAATCTGCATTTTTTACTTTACAAATACTTACTTCTTCCCATTTAAAAACTTAACGCTACTTACAGCATTTCTGCGGCGTGTGATTTTTACATTCGTTTACTTACAGCAAGCTTAGGGAACCTACAGTTTTAGTTTTTTTTTACCATTTACAACATGTTATTACAACCAAACATTACATTACCAAATGACCCACTGCATTTCTAGATCTAATCATAATTATAAACTCATCTTACATCTTGAATTGCAATTGAAAGTACCCAAATACATAAATTTACTGCATACAGCATATTTACCGCCTGTAAATTGATAATATTTCCGCGCGTACATATTTTCTTCCTTAGTTACAGCGTTTTAAAGGTTTGTGATTTAAAAAACTGTATGCTGTAACTAGCCAAAAACAAACTTATAGTAACTTTGGATAAAAAGTTTACATTGCAAATGGTGACTGGCAGTTAAATAAATATATGTTTCAAAAATGGTAACAATATAATGGCGGATAGGTTCGACACTATTAATTTTTTCCGAAATTGAATAGGTTTTTGGCCTGGTGAACAATTGAAATGTCTATTACAGCAAATATGCTTTCCTACGTCGATATATATATAATATATGTAGAAACTGCGCGTTTGGTCTATTTTAGCTACTTTCACAGCATAATGTCTTACTGCATTTTACTGTGGGGTCGGGCTGCTGACATAGAATCCATTTTTATTTTGCAAAAGAGAGCGGTCGGAGCCATTTATAATTTACGTCGTTGCGAATCTCTCAGGGAACTATTTAAAAAGATTAATATTATGACAGTACCTTGCCAATTAATTTATGAAAATATTATGTATGTAAGAATCTACATCTTTTTAGTAAAATAAATGAAAGACATAATTTTAGCACTAGAAATAAAGATAAAATAGCTGAACCATCTTTCAGATTAGCCAAAGTTCAAAATTCATTTATGGGGTGCTGTGTGAAATGTTACAATAAAATACCTTGTGACATTTTAAAACTAAATGAACGAAAATTTAAATGTTTTACTAAAAGTACACTATGTAAACAAGCATATTATAAATTAGAGGATTATATTCAAGATAAGAATGCTTGGAAACATGCTGGTCCTGCTCCATAGGACAATCATAAAGCCTGGACAAAATCAAATTGGTTGCTTTAACATATTTTTGTTGTTTTTTTTTTTTAATTTATAATGCTACAAATGTAATTTTTTTATTGTATCTCACGCACTGTTTTGTTGTGTTTATTTAATATTTGTATTACTCTTTAATGTTATTATTCTACGGTTTCGATATTTGTAAATATGTGAGGAACATGTATACTAACTTTTTTAGTATAGTAGTTTATTCTAAGAGTACATTGTCTTCACATATAATTATTTAACAAATGTAACTAAATATTGTAAACCTATTTTAAAAGAGTAAGTGTGGAGTTTCTTGCCCATACTTCTCCACACGAAACTACCTTTTGGAAGGGGCAACTAGAATCTTCTTTGTATTTTTTTTGACGTTCAAAAGTGCCATTTTAGATGGTCTAATTGAAATAAATGATTTGACTTTGACTTTGAAGACAAACCCTTTTATCTCTAAGGATCGGAGAAGTATCAGCCTCATACGTTATAATAGTGTTCGTTGACCTGTGTACAAGTTCCATACACGGTAACCATGGTAACGACACACATCTATCACTAACCTGTGGGACACGTGCAACTCGTGAACCGCACGTAGCACGACCTTCAACTCCGACCTCTCGTCCTTGAGCACGTGAGCCGCCAATCTCCGCAAGGCCAACGCCGTGTTGAACAACAAGGCCCCGTCGTGTGGCGCCACTCGCCTCGCTCTGAGTAAAGTCGATCGCGCGGCTCTCGAACGTCCAGCGAGCGTTTGAGCTCGCGCTAGCCAAGTCAACCATTCCACGTCGTGTTGTTTGCGGAATTTGCGAATGCAGTTTTCGTACTACAATTTTATTTACATGGTTAGTGAGTAAAATTTGAAGAAAAGACGATTAAACTATATGGTGGGACCATGTTTTGTAATATATTAATGCCAAGGATAAGGTAAAATTTGTGGATTAAGACAAGATTCAGTAGACGGTAGAATTGGTTATTCAAAATCCTTAATAATAATGCTATATTGCAGTTTTCAAATTTGGAATCTATAGACAAATTGTAGAGGAACAAAAAAAATACACTTAAAAGCATCTGACAATTTAATAATATTTATATTTTGAAGATATTTATAGGTTTATAGAAATAGGCTCAGTGAGAAATATAGCATATGTTATATTTCTCACTGATTATTATATAACTGAGTATATATCAGGAAAATTGATTCATTAGTTTTTATTTGATAATAAACATATTATTTTTAAAATCAAATATGTTTGTAAATTAAGTAATTGTAGATAGGTTACTCCGACCACTAAGAATATATACTTATCAACCTTGGCATCCAGGGCCTTACAGCCAGTCAGTGGCTAGAACGTTCAAGAGGGTGGAACTCATCAGGTTGAAGGAACTCTTACCATCCCCCCTCCACAGACGTATATACGAAATAAATATTATCAAGTGGAGTTCTCTATTAATCCAGCCAATTATATTAGAACGAATTTAAATAAATAATCTTAATTTTTGTCACGTGTTATAGAGTAAATCTTACCATTTGTATGGCGTTGATATATTGTTTCTGTTCTACATAAATGTGTGCAATATTCATCCAGACATCAGGGAAATCTGCCGTCGCCTCGCGCACTTGTGCGAATATATCCCTGGCCTCGTTGACGCAACCCTATTAATATATTTTTTTTTAGTATTGCATAAACATTATAAATAAAGTAAAAGTACATAAAACACCAAAAACCATTAAGGGGTTTTGTGCTTGAAGAGCTACACCACAGTACAAATTTCTTTATATTCCTTATAAACTAAAAAGATAAAAGAATCAATACAAAAAACGAAACATTTTTTTACAAGGCAAGCATTCACATCCTAGGTTGGCCAAAAAATACCCTTTAAGGGTTGCAAGCCTTGCAATTTTCGGGTGTTATTTTTATGGTAAACAATTAACAAGTCGTAAAACAATACATGAGATTGTTCTTAGCGAGCAATGTTGGCTTTAGCGCCTCTCATGGCTACGCAATAATATTTTCTTTACCATTTAAAGCTCGCTCGTACGGTGAAGGAAACCTAAGACCCATAAATCTACGTGTCAGGCACATACTGATCACCATCTTATCTATTAGAATTATCCTTTACAAACAAACAACATACAGAAATCCTAGAAGAACAGAAACCTAGAGTTTATGTTTATTCATTTGACGACAGTAATATGTAAGATTTGGGAACACTTTTAAGTAAAAAAAATACAAAATTTAAATGTGTCAGTTTGCGCGACTAGTTTAAATAACAAATCATCAGCAGTTAGAATCATCCTTCTGCACTATTAGATTTTTTTTTAAATATTTACAATTATTAAATTTAAAATATACCCAAAACGGACACCATACGAAGAACATTATTTATGTAATGAATTTATTCTCAATTGAAATAAATGGGAGAGTTCTACTGAGAAAATATTGTTACATTATAATCTGAAAAATTATGACGTCTGCTTTTGAGGGTCAAAATGACACAGGACGGTCGTCATTGTATGACGTGACGTCACAAAGGTAAAGTTCCTACAAAAGTTATGAGGGGCAGACTCTTTAATGAATAGAGGAATACAAATAAGACATACCTTCTGTGCCAGTACGCATCCAATTCCATTGGCCGCCCAAATGTTCTTAGGGTCGTTCTTCAACACCTGTTTGTACATAGCTAGCGCCCTCTCTTGGTGACGCTTTTCGCGATCTTTCTCTTGACCCGGTTGGTGTAGAGTTTGCAACCAAACATTGCCTGTCCAAATATATATGTCATTTATAGGTACACCATTGTTGTCTAGTAAATCCATACTAATATTATTAAAAGAAAAAATCCTCAAAACTTAGTAGTACTCGATATAGTTATCGAGTTAAAAAATTCTTATACTATTACAATATTACATTATCCTTGAATAAGATGGCATTTCTTATATATTTTAACGTAGTAACATGTGTAATGATGACTTGATTCACTATAACTCACTTCACTGATTTTACATAATCTTCAAACTTGAACAAAGGAATTGCCCGTGCGCATGTGTTACAACCTCTTTTATAATCTATTCCCTACTCCGACCCGACCATCCCCGGCAGTTGTTCAAGTCAATTCGTAACAATTCGTAAACAACCGAAGTCAAATGAGTAACTATTGCACATGCGCACTTGTAGCGAGATTCGAATATGTTTCATAGAAAATCTTTAAAATTTAATAAATAAATATTAAAAGCTAACACATGTAAACAATAAATACCGTAAGAAAATTACTAAAAAACAAGTAAATTCAATTGTACTTGAACTGTTTGAAAGCATTTGTGCGATTAAAGCTTTAGTTAGCTCTATCTACTATCATATATTGTACAATTTAAACAATTAAATTATATTAAGATAATTAATATTAATTTAGCTAATTAATAAAAAATCCGAAGGTAGTTTATGGGTTTTTAAATAAGTAACATACCAAGAGCGATTAGTGAATATGCGTCACTAGAAGTGGAGGCATTTTGCAGAATCCTTTCAAATTTCTTTTGCCCAGGTCCCCATTCCTGTTGTCCTAAATGCAGGTTTCCCAGCAGTGACCAGGAATCAGCGTGCTCCAGATTCACCTTCAAAGCCTCTTTGAACCAGTCAGACGCTTCGTAGATCTGACCCTTGCCGCGCGCCATACAACCCAACCTGCATAATTTTTAGTTAGTTTTAATATTTGAACTTTTACATTACATAAATATATGAAAGAAGTTTGTTAAGGCGAGTGTTTTTAAAAAAACAAATAAAAACGCTATAGTTTTTGAAATACAATGAAAAAAAATGTGTTTCGCGTTTTTACTTCAACACAAACTTTTTTTTTATTTGGTCCGTGCGCGGATTATTTGTTAACAGCCAGTAACGTTTTCATACAATGTTCGTGATTGAAACATTAACCAACAATATCAATATTCCAAATTCAAATTACTTTTAGTCCTTAAAAAGCTATTGTAGTCCAATTACTGGCATGTTTTGAATAGATGTGATAAAAAAATAACATTGTATCAGACAGTTGACAGTGACCTTTGCAATACAAATTTGAATAATAATAACAATTAATAATGAAAAAATCCGTCTTGAAATACAGAGGAATTCTAGAATAGATTTTTTTAAATATATATATATATATATGCTTGCTCGTTTCTCATAAGATAATAAAAAAAAGAACCTGAGATAGCAATCAATGTAGTTAGGATGTTCCTTAAGTATATCCTTGTATAACTTCTCTGCCTTGTTGTACATGCAGAGTGCTTCATTGAGGCGTGCCAAGTTGTACATAGTAGTCACAGCAATGGAGTTGTAATATTGCGCATCCAGCGTTTCTGCGTCCGCTTTTTCCCTATAATTTAATGCGTGATTGTTGTTATATTCGTCAATACATAACCCATTAAGTGCAAATTGTTTTTTATTCGTTCCCGTAGTTTTCATAAAGGAATTTCAACAAAAAATCAATATCTTTATATTATATTTTGTACAAATAAGAAGTATTTATATTTTTATAATTAGTTGATGCCTGTGATTTGGTTCGCGTAAATTCTGTTGAACAACGAAAAATTAAATTATTTATCCTATACATATAAAAATAAAATAAAAAAATAAAATATGTTTATTATTGAACATAAGATACAGGTATCACTTATTCCACGTCATTAAATTTGAATCTGTAGGCATTCCTACTCATCGGCAAAGAAGACAGAGGGTGTAGGCCGAGAGAAAAAGCCGGCGTAAAAAGCTCTAAGTACTCTTTTAAGTAAATAGTTGTGTATTAGTAAATAGAATTTACAATTTTAACTGCATATAATATTTGGCCTGACAATAATTATAAACAGGCAATCAAAAACTATTTCATTAGTTAAATTAAGTTTAAGTTAAGTTTTTTCATGTTCAGGTTCTTATAAACTAGACATACTCCACTATTATTCTATATATAACATAATATATAACATAACAAGACAAAAAAAAATGTGTGCGTGTACTAGGTGTACACACGTAAGAAGTGAAACTTCTTTATGACCTTATTAGAAACTATTTCTTTAAACACAGTAAATTTTGATACACTGCCTAGCATACAATTTACAAATTAATTGCTGCAAATTGCGATTAGCAAATTTAAGTCGAAAATGTAATCCGTTGTCAAACTTCTAAGTCAAAAACATACTATATGTCATTATTTTAACGCCGATAAAGAAGTTTGACTTCGAAAATGAATCCGTTGTCAAACTTCAAAGTCAAAAAACATACTATATGTCATATTTTAACGGATAAAGAAGTTTGACTTCAAAAAGCAACATGGCGCGTAACGGAAAAATGTGACGCGTAACGCAAAAATGTTACACTAAATTTTTTCCAACCCCGATAAAAAGTTTCACTTCAAAATGAATATTGTAAAATTGTTTCTATAGGAATATACCTTTCCAAGGCTTCTTCTAAGTATTTCATTGCGTCAGTCAAGTTTCCAAGACGATAATGCAGTGCGGCAACATTGTTCAGAATCTCAGCTGGGATGTCAGCATTCACTTTGTCTTTTAGAATTTTCATCGCTGTACTGTATGCATTTAAGGAGCCCTGGAAATTAAATTGTATTCATAAATACTCTAGAGTGATAAGGGTGGGTGAATTTTATAAGAAATTTGCAAGGATTTATTTTGCCATATGATTGCCTGGGTAAGCGCGGCTCGTATGTTTTAGGTAAAGAGGCTAAAGGGAGCTTCAGTAGTTACGTCACTTTTTAGCATGAAACCCCCCCCCCGCCCCCCCCAAGTAACGCGCCGTACGTCTTTCTCTACCCACTAGAAAACGTTTCGTGACTTCCCAGTGACTCTTTATGGCTAAACAGTTACCATTACTGGTTTAAAGTAATGGATAATCACAAAACACCGGTTAACAATATGGTCATTTAATTCCGTCCCGCATCGTATCGTTTAACAAACAGGTCCCTCCCAAAATGTTACGTAGTACTTGTACGCTCCCAAGTACAATAAGGCACAATAAGCAGTAAATGAAGAAGCTTTTTAAATGATATTAAGACAGTATACAATGTCTAGCCATACCAAATTAAATTTAGGCGAATGTCCCGGCCTGTTAATAAAATTATTGTAAAACTTTGTTAGTGTTACCAAGTAAACAAAAATTTATAGCCCTATAGTACACACTAATAGTACCGAAACCATGATACGCTCAAAGTATTGTACGTTTAATTTAAAGTGGAAAATGCTTATTTAGCAACCATAAGTATTGTAGATTTATTCAAAGGTCACAAAGTCACAAGCAACCTGTAAATCGTTTTGTTCCACTAGATACGGCAATTCAATCAAGCTTCGACATCATCCGGGAAGTTCGTACCTTCTTAAATGTGTCTGGCAATATTAATTGAAACAGACATAGAAATGTCTTACATAGTTTCATAATTAAATGGTTGTGCTTTCAGTGCGAATTTTTCAAAACATTGTGCTGCCTGTAGGTTAAAATATATAAAATTACTTGAAAAACCATTGTATTATTGTCTTAGCCTAGTAAACAAAAATATCTGGTAGGTCATCAGCCTTCTGTGCCTACATGTACATATCAAGACGTAGGAAAAAGTACACAAAATCCTAAAGTGACTTTTTCCTGCCATTAGAGTGTTATAGATTTAATACCTTAATAATGTGCTCTCTACGATGGAAAAAAATTACTGCCGTTGAAAACGCCTATTATATTATTTTTAGCAACCATAAGTACTGTGTAGATTAAAACTACATATCAAATTCACTTACAGTACAAAAGCAAATACCTTTACACAATCATTTCTTCTTCCCATTAAAAACTTTGCGCTACTTACAGCATTTCAAGCGTGTGATTTTTCCATTCATTTACTTACAGCAAGGTTTTAGGGAACCTACAGTTTTGGTTTTTTCCCCTTTACGAATTTTTCAACCTTCATTATTCAAATGATGTCTGGCAATTCTAGATCCATCGTAATGAACTTCTTACATCTGATTTGAATTAAAGTACCCAAATACATAAATTGCATACAGCAGATTTACCCCTGTAAAGATAAAATTTTCCGCGCGGATAGTTTTTCATAGTTACAGCGTTTTAAAGGTTTGTGATTTCAATACTTTTTTTGGTGTTAATTAGCAAAACATTGTACTGCCTGTAGGTTATAACTATTCGATAAAAGTTTCATTGCAAATGGTGAGGCAGTTAAAAAATATGTCAAAAATGGTAGCAATATCATGGATAGGGTCTATTAGCCTTTTTCCGATATTATAAAGTCTTTTGGCTCTGGTGATCAGCCTTGCAATTGTGCCTTCATGTACATAAAATGTTGTTTCACTCGATATGTTGTTGGATCTAATGCGGGTTTCTCAGGATGTTTTCATGACCATAGCAAGTGTTTGAAAGTGTAGTGGTTGATTTGTAAGAAACTTGGTTGATTTTAACATTCAAACTTAATTTTTAAAAACAAAAATCATAAATAATAGCAAATAGTCTTACTTACATTTTCAGTATCTCCTCTATAAATATACATTTGCCCTAGCCCATAGTGTGGCAATACAAAATTAGGTGGGGCAAACTGTGTTGCCTGATAATAATACTGGAAGGCCTGATCACAGTCTCCTTGTGCGTGGAAAGCTCTTGCTAAGTGATGGCAACTCTCTGCTCTCATAGCTTCGTTTTCCGTATTATGGAAAGCATGTAATGCGAGATGTTGAACTTTACCATAATCCTACAATTTTTTTTACTATTTATGAAATTGTTGATTCATAGATTAAATAAAACCCATACAAATTAACATTGTTTGTTCCATTTTTTTTAACACCTATGAATGCTATAGTTAATCTTAAAATTTAGTTTACATATAAATGTATACTTTATTTATATATTTTGTGTCTACTAGCCAACACAACACACAAGCTTGCTGATATATATAAAATAGTAGCACTTATTATGTGGAAGTACTTTAAATTTCTGTTAAAAAAATGTAATAAAAGAATTTAGTCTAAATATATTTTGATGCTACAAGAAAATGGTTGTGGGATTCTTATACAGTCAAAACTGTTTACGGCGACATCGTTTGGAACAACATAGTGGTTATATTGACCAAAATCAAAGGTCCCAGCTGAATTATATTGTGTTAGTTACTTAATAACAATGTCATCAGCTGTTACGACTATCAGTTTTTAAAACCAAATATGAGTAGTACCTTCGATGTTGTTATAACAGATTTTAACTGTATAATAGTAAATAGTTGAAACATACCTTTTTGAAAAAGAAATGATTTGCCAAATGATTAAGAACCATAGGGTTCTTAGGATCAATGGCATAAGCTTTGGAAAGCATTATAACTGCCATTTTATTTGATTCACTCTCATGTTGATTTAGTTTCAATATAGAGAGACCAACAAGTGCTCCAACACATTGAGGATCAAGCTGCAAAGCTCTTTCAAATGCCATCCTGAAAGATTATTATTTATTATTAATATACTTGACAGTATTTCTAACTATACTATGCTTTTTTTTTTATAAATTATTGTTTTTTTTTTCATCATTATGATCAGCAGTTACTTATGCTTTATTTTGGAGTTTCTTATATAATTAAAATTATGTTACCCCAGGTAATGGTGCAAGTAGGTAATGTGGTGACAGTTTTTATTACTTTGTTACATTGAAAAACTCACACACATAATTCACACATATTATACAAGAATCTAATATAAAACTGTTGAATTGAAATTAACTCATGAAGGTACTGATCTTTTAGTTTTTTTTAATTTATCTATTTACTTACAGCCCATGTATAGCCAAACGTATAATAAAAATAACATGAAACTACAATAAATTGGCTTTTTAATGACGGCAAACGTAAATAAAAAAAAATAGTGACCTCACTCTGGGGCCCATATTCAATTTCCTATTTCAAATTGCTTAGAAGATAGCCCTTGAAATAATGTCTAGATTTGATTAATGTTTTGAATACAGGCCATACATCTCATCACATGATCTATAATCTAATACCTAGCTTTTTCTTGATTGTTAAGTTTCATAAAACAATGGCCCATTCCAAGACGTAGTGCTGCTGGACTATTAGGATTTGTTCTCAATGCTTTTTTATAAAATGCCAAGGCTCCTCTATAATCTTTTCGGTTGAAAGCAATACACGCTTTTCCAAGTAGGGAAGGTACATTGTTAGGAGACTGATTGAGAACAAAATTGAACTGGGTATCAGCTTGTCCCATTTTATCACCCTCAAGAAGACAGAAATAAGCACGGCCCAGAAGATGGTTCTGCGAAATCATTAAGTTACTTTAATACAATCTTCTTTAAACTTTAATCTAACATAAAATGCTAACATGTTTATTACCTGGTCATACATAATAATTTTATCTGCCATTGTATAAAGTAAGGTTGCTTTAGTAAACAGATCTTTTTTCTTGTCCTTTGATTTTTCTTTATTTGCTTCTTGAACATAATAAGCTGCAAGCATATCCAAAGCTCGCATCTGGTCTCTCTCAAAGTCTCTGTAGTCAATGTTGGCGTCCACACGGGACGCCTCCAAGATTTTAAGGAAATCATCGATCTTTTTTTGTTTATAATAAGCCAGCTGAAACGAATAATTAGAATGTTAATATAATCAACACGTAATACATATCTAAAGCACAAATTTTATAGGTTATGATTTCAAAAACTTACTGCAACATTAATCCAAACATTAAGTTGGGACCGTTCTTGTTGTAAGATACCAAGGACTTCATTGCCCGATGGCAATAGGTCAGGATCGAGTTCTATCACCTAAATAAAGTTATATTTTTAGATAATGACACGAAAGCCCATTTTGTATACAACGTATCATAAGTATTTACCTCATCGGTGCTCATTAATGGTATCTCTAACGACATTTTTATTGATTATCACACAACTATTTAAACAAAAATCATTTTCAATAAAATATAACAAAATTCTTGAAATAAAATTCCATTTCTCAGTTATCACTTCACAACATTGAACACATACACAGATCACAATTCTCCAACTACAAAATATGGCAAACCACTAGGCGCTAACGACTAAGTATGTACTAACATAAACAACGAACAAACACTTGAGTACAGACTAGAAACTAGGAAGCTGAAAGACTTTCAACAGACAATTAATTTGCATTTTTTTTTAATATTAAACAAAATATTATGATTGAGTAATTTAAACCTAAACATAACAATGAAATATACAGTATTTAAAATTTTCTTAACCTACTACATAGTAATAATAATTGAGTAATTTATATTTTTATTTAATAATTTCTATCATATTTTCTGTAATCTATACAAGTCCGATAAACATTTTGATACAATATGTTTTCTTAAGGTGTTTTATGTTATTAATTAATTGAATAAAAAACACTGGTGCTGTATTTTAAAAATAGCTATTCCGGTCGATTATTTTAAATTGATAAAACATGTCGACAAAGGACAATACTAACCCGGAGGCCGGAAGCAAAGTACTGCCAACTTAAAATAAAACATGAAAAAAATATTTTATCTCATATTTGATTTTACGTATAAGCATCATAAAATAGCATTAGAAAATACATAAATAGGATTAACATTTGCTCTTTTAGTGCGTATTGTAATTTAAACTTTCTTTAATCACATCGACTTCATAATTATTTGGTGTGACAGACCAGAGGAAAATGAAAATTATCTAAGTTGTTCGTATTTATAATTTCCATTCAAATTATTTTCTTTACATATGTTAAGAAATTAAGAATAACTTATACACAATAATATTTAATGTTAGATTTTAATACTATAGAGCTCAATGTTGAATACCGATATTGTGAAATTAAAAATATGAATCCTGTAGCAGGCAAAAGACTAACATATAAGCGAATGAGACCTAATCCTCTATTTGAAGAATGTTTAGAGAAACTCCACGAAGAAGCTAGATTAAATAATACAAACTATTTGCCAATTATCAAAGAAGCCATGTCATCACTATCTAAATATCCATTACCTTTAAAATCTGGAGCTGACTGTGCTATACTTAAAGGTTTTAATAAGTCACTATGTGGTCTTCTAGACAAGTATGTGTTAGAAGCAGTCTCTAAAAATTGCCTTTCTCACAATACTACTACTACAGATGAGGTAATAGATTTAGAAAATTACCCAAGTTCAGTTAGTAAAGATTTTACTAGTAAAAGCACCCATGAAATAATAGATGTAGAGACTTGCAATAAATCAATTATTCATCATAAAGATAACATTGATAATAGTCCAAGATCTTCCTGTTCTGAAATACTACCTAAAAAAGGTATCTATAAACCTCAATTCAAGTCTGGAGCTTTTGCTATTCTTATGGGTTTGTTAGAGCTCTATAAGCAAAATATTGAAAACAATGTATCAAAAGATGAAATCATACATGTTGCTCAGAAGTATTGTGAAGAATCTTTTAAAGTTGCAAAAACAGTGAGGTACTCAGCTTGGTCCAGTATGGCTCGTTTAGTTAAAAAAGGCTTTGTGATAAAAAGTCGGGGTAAGAACATACAATATGCATTAACTGAAAAAGGTGTTTCAATGGCTTATAATTTGTGGAATGAATATGAAACTAAATCTTCAACAAATAAATTTATGTTCCAAAAACCAAAGGAAGATGTAGATATTAGAAATGTTTCAACATCAGATAATTTTATCAATTTGGCAGAAATGGATCATTTGGAAAAAATAAATACTAGTCCTGAAGAGGTTTTAACTAATCATCCAGTGATTTATTTACCTGCAAATTGTTATGATATTGTGTTACTAATTGATAAAAATGAAAAGAATGGGTATGTCAACATTGCTTGATACTAGCAAACTTTTTTGGCAGTTTTTATCACTATTGAATGTTTAATGTAGGTATTGCTATTTTTTTTTCTTTCAGAAATGAAGATTCATTCCATAACTATCCTGATTTAAAATATGAACTGAGAAGCCTAAAAGTTGGGGATTTTACATGGATTGCAAGAAATCGTGTTAGTAATGAGGAACTTGTCTTGCCATATATCATTGAAAGAAAGAGGATGGATGATTTAGGAGCAAGTATTAAAGATGGGAGATTCCATGAACAGAAATTTAGATTAAGAAAATGTGGTTTAAAACATGTTTTTTATCTTGTGGAATCATATGACAAAAATAAACATGTTGGCCTACCTCTACCTTCCCTTATGCAAGCCCTTGCAAATACAAGAATCCAGGATGGCTTTAAAATTTACTATACAGATTCTTTGATCAAAAGTCATAGATTTTTGGCTATGATGACCAAAAGGTTACAAGTTGAGTATATGGTAAGCTAACACTGTGTTACAAATTTAACTATAAGGGTAACTTGCATTGTCCAACATATAATTTTGGTTTGGACTGGAATGGATTTTGTCCCTTCTGACCTGTAAAAATAATTCAATGTTTTGCTACAACCCAAAACCGAGACATTCAAACAAACCGGATGCAATGATAAAAAAAAATTAAATTAGACACCATCATATAGTTTCTCAGAGAAATATAACTTTTTTCACAGAACAAATCATTATGTGGCGCCAGTTGTGATCCAAAAGATGGAATGCTAATGACCTTCAACTACTTCAATAAATCATCAGTGAAAACTAAAGTTTTAAGTGTTACTGAAATGTTCATCAAAATGCTGCTTCAACTAAAAGGAATGTCTGTTGAAAAGGCATTAGCAATAACTAGTATTTACAAAACGCCTAAATCTTTATTAACTGCTTTTGAAAATTGTGATACAAAACAAGGAGCACTCCTTCTAGCTCCTTTAAAATATGGTGACTTAAACCGAAATGTGGGTCCCACTGTCAGTAAGACAGTATTTCAATTATTTACTTCCTATTAAGTGGTGACTAAAATTTCAAAGATCTCATAATTTTGTACTTTCTATATTAATGTTATAAACCTATCAAAATCATGAAGCTAGTTAATAAATAAAATTTTTGCATGTAGTTGTTTCAATTACCAAGAAATAAAACACAAATGATTTGTTTAAACATTTATTAAACACAACTATTGAATGTGACATGAGTGATGTCTGAATAGTTTAATTATAAAATAGTTCAGATTTAAGAGCACTTTAGGATGGAATCAACTTGTTCAGATGAAAATATAGCCCAAATGTGACTATCAGAGATTCAATATAAAAAAAGCAAACCAAATATTGAGATTCATTACAAATGACATGAAAATTAATTAGACCACATATTTCTGTTATATATTACTTTCTTATATTAGTTAATACAAGTGCATTTGCTTAGGCCAATTTGAAAAAAAAAAGTGAAATAGCTTTTCAAATATTAATGGCACAGGAATACAGATCCATATAAGAATAAAAAATCTAAGGCTCTAATTGCACTCATTTTACCCTATTTAAAGTTCGTAAATTTTATATATCAAACTTTGAAAATTCAACACACTTTAATATCATGTAGTATTCAATATTTTCAGATCTTAAAAATACATTGCAATATGTGTCAGAAAGTCTTAAATATGCCAATATATACACATATTTTGTATTACAAATAAGGATGTATATATTGAAATGCCCAAACAATAACTACAATATAAAAATATGTACTATTTTTGAAAAACATAAAAATTATATAAATTCGGGTAATTATATAGAACCAACCACCAGTTTTAGAGAAATATTTACTTAAACTACAGTAAACAAAACCCTGTTATATATCATTTATAGACAATGTAATGTGCACTTAAAAACTTAAAACAATCTTTTCTATAAACAAAATAGGTTTTGCTGCAATAGTATGATGAAGCAAATTACTAAAATATTATTTATGAAATAAGAGTTAACCTACACCCATTAAAGCCTTTTTTAATTTGGTGAAGCAATGATTAAATATCACAGCAATTTACTGTAAGAGATTCTAGCTGAATATAATTTATAAGTTCCATTCCATTGCAACATAACCTAAGATTACAAATAATTACAAAAATAAAAATAGCTTGGTGCACTTACATATCTTACATAACTATAAATTAACTTTTTAAAGAGTATGGTAGTTTCTTTCAGTGTGGTTCTTGTAGTACTTGAAACCCATAAACCCAATGGCCAGAAGACCCATGGTTAATATTATTCCACCTACAAAACTAGCTCCATCAAACCTGCAAAATATCATTTTATTAAGAATTTATTTACATCATAGTTTAATTAGGGTTGAAATTGTTGAGGGAACATCTTTTTTAATAGCTATTACATTTCCCAGTTCCAAACCTAAATTCAAAAAACCATAGTATAAATCTCTACTAGAAAAATAATCACAAATTGATTGGCACTTAAGATAAGGCTGACAAGTTAGATAAAAACTATCCTTTACTTACCCTGGATGTCCTTCTTTGGGACGAGCTGTAGCATTATCATTTGGCGACACAGTAGAAGTTGCTTTAGTTGGCACTTCCTTTGAAGGTATGACAGAGGGTGTTACAGCTTCTTCAGTCTTGCTGGTGCTGGATTTTTCTTGGGGCTTCTCTTGGGGTGTAGCTTTAGTTGGGTTAGCTGAATTTTCTTTTATTTCTTCTTTCTTTTCAGAAGTTTTGTTATCTATGGGTTGGCTAGATTTCTCAATAACTGGAGTAGCTGCCTCTGTTACTTCTTTAGTTTGGTTTGGAGCTGCTTGTGTGGCAACAGTACCATTTGCACCTAGATTGGGAATTGGGATTGGAATGGGAACTGTTGAAGATTCTGTCCCTTTAGAAGGCACTGAAGTATTGAGTGTTTGTGGTGATGCTTGTGCGGCACCTGGAAGATTTTAATAATTAATTATAAAATGAAGAACATTTTTAATTGTTTTATTATAACTTTGATGATACTATATTTAATATGTTACTATTAATTATTCATTCCAAAAGAGACCTTATCTATATTATGATCATAAAAAGCCTATTTAACATACAGGTTATGTAAATGTTTAAGAACAAGTACAAGTGTTGTTATAGCTATCATCATTAGTAAAGCTTCTCATTAATACTTTTATTAAATCAAAAATTAATAATTCTTATCCAGTGGTAATTTATTTATACCTATGATAGCTCTAGATAAATAACCACAGTGGTCTAAGTTGCATTTGTATGGGAAGTTACGTACAATCCTTTAATGAAATAGCATCAAGTGGAGAGTTAAATAAAGGACTATAAGTACAATGTTATAGTATGTACTAAAAACCCTTATGAAAATATAATATTCTCTTATAGAAAACCCATACATAAACTGTTCCATCTTAAAGTTGTAATTTATAATAAATTAAAACCACAGCAATCTATTATGATTATTCAATAAATTATTTAAATATAATTTTATTGTCAATGAATTACTTCAAAATAATATTGAATGATGTAGGCATTCCTAATTGGTCCATTGTTATAACTTAATACTATAAGTAACATTATCAACTAAATAAAATCCTATTTTATATGCACTTGTGTAAAATACTATACATAAAAAGGTTTGCTGTGCACAAGATACTCAAGCAATTGAGTGGATGCATGCAGTGAAGTGTAACACATTCTGATGTATGCTATTCATTTGAAAGTTCCACTTGCATCTATTTAGTATATGATATTTTTTAACATTAATTTAGCTAAGAATTGCAGATCTGCAATTATTACTAAGATTATTGCAGTTTAAAGATTTTATTAGAAATAAAGAACATGATTTAAAAAACCCTGGAAATAATTAAGAACTTGTTTTTCAACTTGACAATAATTATGTATCCAAAACGTAACAGAAAGCGGCAGCCTCAGTTGATGACAATTTATGATTTTATAAATTGATTTGTTAATAATATACATATTATATGCATTTCATGTATTCTAATTTTTGTAGTATAGATGTATTTTACACATTTAATATTGTGCAATACAACACGGAGTTTCCATATTTCAGCTTTTGAAACATTTTAGAACAGTATGGCCGGACTCAGACGATTCCTATTTAGTGGTAACGCAATAAGACTTGTAGTTGATTATGGAAGCCAGATTGTTCTTATAATCTTACCTTCATTAGCAGGTTTGCTGACGCATAAGGATACCGATAATAAACACAAGAAAATTACTTTCTTCATTTTAAGCAACTTCTAAATAGTACAACAGTAAAATTACTTTAGTCGACAACCCCAAGGCTCTTATAATAGCGAAAGAGGTGAGAGGAATTTACAATTTTCTAATAAGATTAGCTATGAGACTAAATTTCACCAATCGCCACTGTTGAACTTCGGAGTTCGGACAAAACTATAGCCATAGAGCATATTAATAATAGACAAAAAATCAGAATACAGATTACAGAATAGAATAGTAGCTATAGTAGGAAATGTAATACTCTGTAGTCTGTAGTATAAGCAACTAGAGTCTGGCTAATGAAAGAAGATACTTGAATTATCTGAAAACTTTCGGATGGCAACACAGAATGTCACTGAATTTCTTAGGTTAGTATGATTTATTGTCTTGATACTTACATGCAATTACTCATTTTTATTTCTATTATATATTTTTACCGAATAACAGGTAAAATAGCCTAAACTTTGTTTTATTTGATAGAATATTTCGTTTCTTTTGCAGGATTTGATTATTCCGAATAAAGTTGTGTTTTATAATAAATATAGTTTTAGTTTTCCATGCAATGCTAGTCATTTTAAGTATCAATAGTAAAAGACTAAATACGTATAGTATTTAATTTCATAGAAATACAGTTACTATCAACGTAAAAAATAATAAAATAAAATCAAGTAAGTTTAATCCACAAAATATATCAAACTTTTAGGGATACCATACAATTTTTTTTTAATTTGATAACGATGATAACGAAAAAACGCTTTCATTAGCCAGACTAGAAAAATATAAAAATATAAATCTTTTAAAGCTCAATGTTCAGATAATCTTATCTCATGAAAAAAAAGCGCGGGAAACTTCGTTCATGGTAGCCTTTTTTTTCTCGGTGGTGAAAATTTAATTTAATTTTACTAGTTAAAACGAAGAGGATAAGCTGGTAGTTTTAATTTTTGTATTATATCATATGTGTGTATAGTGTCATCGTGTAGTCGGTAAGTTTTTGTAATTTCTGTAATTGCAAAATAAGACATAGTTATTTAGACAAAACTAATGGAACAATACAAAGCAATTAAAACAATTATGTAAACAGTGAACAGTCCTGTTACAATAAAAAAGGTACACATGAAAAAGAGAAAGTGCACATGAATCAATATAATTTCATATTTGAAGAACGAAAGTTTGTTCAAGGGTGCAGCTGATGCTGACCGGAATGCTGTGTATGAGTCTACCTGTTATCATTTTAGCATTACTCATATTTCTTACTTTTCTATTTCCCATTATATTCCCAAAATAAATAAATTTCAAAACCGCCTTCGTGTTCTAGTCTTTTTTACATAATTTATATTTAAATTATCATAGATAATATAAATTAAGTTTCGCACTCTTGCATTTCTTCACAATTCTTAGTTTTACTGTCTTTAATTAGGGTTACCTGGAAGAGGTCGCTTAGTAGCGGTAAGTCCACCCGCTGCACCATTTATTTTAAAGATTATTGTTAATATTATTATTTAATAACTGTGAAAGAACATTTAAATAAATATAATAAAGAGAAATGCATCAGTATTTGATAGATGAGTTTACGACCACTAAGCAACAAGAGGTGAATTAGAGGTATCTCATTCATTCATCCACATTGGGTTATTAAACTACGTACCTAGTTATGTTATAAGGTCCTTCATTAAGACTACAATATAATAGCATATATTGTAGTCTATAATATATAATAGCATTAACTACATATTGGAAGTAAAGTACTTTCAAATTAGTTTTACTGATATTTTTTTCTAAGCAAATACGACACAAAAGTATTTTGCCGTAAGTATTTTGTCATAAGTATTTTGCTATCGTAAATTAAATAGGAATCTTTCCACAACCAAGTTAATTTTAGTATAGTAGAATCACAAATGTTAACCATTGTTAAAAATACCCTTGATCATTGCAACCACTGTTCAAGCCGTAATAAAATTTTGGATGAAAATATTAGGACGTGACCTCACAAAGATTTATGAATGCAAAAAGTTTTTATGATTCGTAAAATACAAGTTTCGCAAAACAACACCCTCAAAATGAGCAAAAAGGTGATTTGAACACAGCCGCGGGTATTTTGTGTTTACTTATAATTTGTAGGGTTAAAGGAATTGAAAAAAGTTTATACTGTTTGAAAGTTTAATTAAGTAGCGATTTTTTTAAGAGAAAGATTTCCATAAGAATGACATAATTAATTCAGAAATATTATAGGCGACCTACAATACAAAACCTTATTCAGAAAAACCAAATCAGTCATTTGTTTTTACTGTCTTGTTATACCTAATGCTGTGGTCTGTGATAAATATAATTAAAGTTAAGAAAAACTGTAACAAGTCCAAAGCATTATGTTATAAAGATGAATAGTGTTTGTTGGCAATTTCAGGAAGCACTGGTTTTAATTTAAAAAAAATGTATTGTTTTAATAGTCCATTTATCGGGGAAGGCTATGCAACACGTTATGACCCAAATAACGCGGTCGAATTTGTGGTTCACAACCAGCGATATTCAATTTAAAATAACGCTAAACTAATTGTATACAGAAACGAATAATTTGAATTTTTAAATTTTATGAAAAATTTTCAATTTAACGACGTTTTAACAAATGAAAAATCAGTTTACAGTGTCATTAGAGGTGCCGCCTGTCGCTCGCGCCCTGAATATTTATAGGAAGAGCAAAGTAATTAGAGCGAGAAAATCTTTCAACCTGTCCCAAACATAATAGAACCTTCCAAATTGTACTATAACTAATTTCCCTTTAGTTGAGTTTTACTGGCTTTTATAATTATTAATTAATAATTCAATCCACGTTTCATTTCAATTTTGTAACTTTGACCTTTAAATTTTACTAAGCAAACATTAGCGTCTTAATAAATTAAATCCAACGGAAACCTGGTAGACGGCAGTTTGGATATTACTTATATTCTACGAGTTAACGAGTTTAACTTTAATAATTCGTAACTAAAATAAAGAGAAAAGTGGCCATATTCATTGATAATGTTAATATTGAATAATCAACCATAGTAACCTTCGTAACGTATATATTTGTAAATTTTATAGAACCATCATTTATAGTAACATAGTCATCCGTAATTTTGTGGTAAAAGGTAAAAGGTATGGGAGTCCCTGGCTCGAATTCCCGATAACACAATTAGATTGATTTAGTTTTTAGAATAAAAGAGGCTTTTATAATGTTTCGAATGAAACTAAAATAGAAATGTACCTCACAAAAAAACATTAGCTTTGAATTGTAAACCATTACTCTTAAGTTAGATAAAAGTAGCTCATAATCATCAGACTTGCGTCGAATTATATAATATATTGAGCGTTTTCAAGGCAGTTTTTACCGCGCACCACCACTTTGTGGAACCAGCTGCCCACAGAAGTATTTCCGAACCAATTCAACTTAGGGTCCTTCAAGAAAAGAGCTTACCAATTCTTAAAATGCCGGCAACGCACTCTCGAGCCCTCTGGCATTGAGAGTGTCCATGGGCGGCGGTATCACTTACCATCAGATGAGCCTCCTGCCCGTTTGCCCCCTGTTCTATAAAAAAAATGTGGTGACAATTATATAATATTTAGTATCTCATTCATTCACTAAAGCCTACCTATACATAAGTAATATATGACGCCAAGAAAGGAATTTGTTACAAAGAACGGATTAATATAAGAGGAATACAAGTTTTAAACTAGTACAGAAATCTAGTCCACGTCAATCCCTGACTTTGCGTTGGATTCGATAACATGAGAAACGTAGCATTGGAGATAAACGACGAAATCTACGGTTCGAGCGGAGATTTATGGGTGGGATCATGGGCTTGAGAATTACAAAACTTAAACAGTACACTAATGCTTTAACTTAGGAAAACTATGGTATGAGATAATTCAGAACAAATATATGGTTAATCTTTTTTCACTTAGTTTAAGAAGGAAATACTTATCTGTTTGTAATGATTTTTTGAAAACATTGCATGAAGTTTATGCATTTGTTTCTCGTAGACTTAATCAAATTTTGATTACTTCACGGGCCATAATGATTCATTATCATATGTTTTTTAATATAAATAGGACAATTTAAATAAGGCCTCAAGGAAAGCCTCTTTTGAATATTTATGATCAGTCATTGAAATAATTAAACTTGCTTTATGGCAATATTATTGTGATTTAAATGTTGGTTGTGTATGCAAATACTGAGTAATTGGAAATTAAAGTAATGATTCAACAATGGTGAAATTTATTTATTTTAGTCTTAGCAAGTAAACTAATGCTGAGCTATCACACTAATGCATTTCTAGCTATTGTTAATACTATACATAAGGTCTATTTGTTTTGAGAAAAATACACGTTGGAGTTTAATATAGTTTCTATTGAATACACGATCTATCGAAATTCGAAATAGAACCAATTTACGTATTTAATAATTTAATATTTAAAACCGCACCTAACTTCATTAGCCTGCGGGGCGTCACTGTTTAAATAATTTGACTTTGGAAAGAATACTGAATTGGCATTTAGATTTAAAACGTCGGTGTCTGATTTGTTTTTGTGAACTCGTAAGCAATGCTGAGTTTTCCATACAAAAATATATGCAAGGCTTGCAAGTGGGTAAAATTTTTAACACTATTTAAGAATATTAGTTATAACAAGGGAGCTGGCGAGCATTTAAGTATATGATTTGCTCGTATTTCGTATTGATAGAAATTAAAATTCGGACCAATACGACAAAAATCTGAGGAATAGTATTATGGCCAATTAATGCGATTATTCGTAGTAAGACTATTATTTTATTGTTTTGAATTTTTTATTGACCTGCGAACATAATGGTCTGCTTTCGGAATATGAGCATCGGGGATCTACCTCATTTATGTTTTTTTAATAAGCAACATATTTTTAAAGCGCTCTTAATAGAAAACGCAGCGCTACGATGGTGGCAGACTATTTTTCTGTGGTCGTTCGCAGGGTTTTTAAACGAACACGGTCTGCCAAGCGTGTA